TTAGCCCGCCACCAAGCCGCCCTCAACCTACCACCAACCCCCCATCAACCCAACATCAGTCCGCTACCAACCCTCCACCAACCCACCATTAGCCCTCCAACTGCTCATCAGCTAATTATTAGTATTATTTTGTTTTAAGCGGCTTAGCCTACCCGGGCACAGGTCACTAACCCACTTCGGGCCTGGGGGGCGAAAATATAATAATAATAATAATTATATTAACAATAATAATAATAATAATAATAATAATAATAATAATAATAATAATAATAATTATATTAATAATAATAATAATAATAATAATAATAATAATAATAATAATAATAATAATAATAATAATAATAATAATAATAAATGTATACAAAATTTTAAAAAAAGATCAAGAGTGAGATACGATATTTAGTGTGTATGTTGTATTGTCAATAATAAGAGAAATAATTAAGACCCTGCAATTGTGTGTGAATGAGGCAGAAAGTCAGATCAGCAACCTGGGACTTGGTCACAATATTTGAGATGCCATATGGCAGCAGGGCCTACGACCAACTAACTGATGGGTAAGGTTTGGTTTTGAAAGGTTAGATTATGTTATGTTAGTTTTAGTTAGTGTAAGGGTGGTTAATCTTAAGGTAAAATAAGCTAGGGATATCTTCAGGTGATCCTTAATATCAATAAAACCTTAGTAATTCGTCAGTGTATCATCGTCCAGCTTCCACTCACAGTCCAATATTTCACTTGACGAGCCAATAGACAAGTTGATTGGTGTGAAAGAGCTAGTCTGCATGTGGAAATGGGTGGTGTCACCCATCCTTTATCTAAGTAACAACAGAGTCAACCCACGGGTTGACCGAGGTGTACCTCCCCTCCTATCTCCCTCCACAAACGAGGTCGACTATTGAAGTCAATAAGTATAACGAATGGGCAAGGGAGTTGGTGAATATACCCAAAGGGGATACACATCTGCAGACATGCCGCCCGGCGTTACTGACAAAAAGCCACCTTCCAACACAAATCGGTGCTCGTGCCTGATCAATGAATGCTTTTCTGGCGTTTGATCACTATGCAATCAGGGGTTCTCTATACACCCACTCTCGGAATGTCCACACAGGATGCAGTTTGTTTTTAAGTAGATACCTTGACATGTCTCAGGAATGACTACACCCAGACTTTGTTTAGAAATCCATTTGGAGTATTGCAAACTTGCATTTTGAGCAATCAGTTGTTAGATACTGTACGGTAGCTTCGAAACGTAAGCCTACCGAAATATTCTCTCCGATTCTAATATTTTGTCTCTCTGTTAGCCGTTTTACTTTTTAAGAAGAGAAAAAATGGCCGTTACTGGTATTCTAACAGAATTTGGAAAATCTCCTTCACTTCCTATTGCAAATTCATTAAATATGTGCTTTTAACTTTCCTTGGAGCACCTCTTCATTAACCACTGTTTTTACCACAATGTTCTTTTCTTCACTCTGCTCCTCTTCTTTATCGCACAAGCAATCACCACACTCAGATAAGCTGCTTTCGTTGCACGCGAAATTGGAGCCATTTCTCGGAACACCTTGGTCAAACATTGAATGATAGTGGCTGGTGTATACAATTCATTAGGCAAGGCTGATTGACACTGTTGGTCAGACTTAAGGGCGGCATGTCAACAGATATGTACTTGGATTAGGTAGGTCTGAATATTTAGTGCTGGAAAAGTTGCTGGGGCAGCACTGCCTGCCGATACACCTGGAGCAGCACCGTCGACTATTGTCAATTCAAAAGACGCTAAGGCGACAGTACCGATCAGAGCTGGCACAGGTACCTCTAGTGGATGCCTCGTCCTCAGAAGACGCAGGAAGGGTCTTCGGCAATACCGAAGACCATCCTTTGAGAGGGGGAGGAAGGCGGTAATGAGGAAGGACGGGAGGTACTGAACAGGTAGTGAGAGAACGGTGGGAGGGAGAAAATTGACCCAGGAATGGAGGGAAGGAGGGAGGTACTGACTAGGCAGTAAGGGAGGAGGGAGGAAGATACTGACCAAACTGGGGCCGGATACTCAAAACACCTCATAAGTTACGTATATTAGCGAGATACAGTACCATATATTGCAGACTCCTCACAGTCCCGTAAATTTAGCAAACTCAAAATTTAATTACAGTTCCTTAAGCAGTCCATAAGTTATTATAACTCTAGTGTTTACCCTGTAAATTCAGTTCTCTTGTCGGAAGGTAGATGACAGTGCAGGAGTTAGTTGGCCAATTAGCGCTCAGTTAACAAAATCATCAACCAATCACAAGAGAAGGAGAAATCAGCTGAGAGCGACGCACGTGATATTAGTTTGTAAACAAGAGATGGAAGGACAACCACCTGAAGAAACGACCAAATTTCAGTGAGACTGAAGTATGCGCCATGGTGTTTGAAGTCGCCAAAGAAAGAAAATAATTTTAGGGAAATTGGACTCGAGATGTACAATCAAATTGAAGAATCATGCCTGGTAAGAAGTAGTAAAGGCAGTGAATGTTGTGGCTCTAATACCCAACAATGTTGTTGAGACGTCAGGCGGAAGTTTTCTGATTTACCTGTAAGCGTTAAGAAAAAACAGCACAACAGTGCGTGACAGAGACGTGACCGATCGCCCGGGCGGCTCGCGAGCCGATCAGTGGCGAAGAGGCTAAAACTAAAAAGGAAAAGTAAGATTATAAATATTCTGGTGGAACAGGTAAGTCATAATATTGTTAGCCTAGGTATTGATTGCCACTCTGAAACTAACTTAACTCTGGTTTTTATGAGGCTTGCTACGATTTGAGGTGGTTGTAAACTCAAGGAAGTAGTGTATGGTGGCTCTTCATCGTGAATTAATACACATATTTTCTTTACATGAGCACATTCATTAAAAGAAACATCGTTCTTCGAAGTTTGCCGTGTGAATAAATAGTAAAAACTGTACCGCCGATAAATGAACCCAAAGGCTAGTCGGTATTACTGCTAATAATTGCCCCACACTTTTTGGATTTTCTTAATATGCCTATCATATAGTTGAGACAATTTTAAGACACTAATCATTGTGTCGTAAATGACATGGAACAGAGATATTTAATATTCTTCTGGGTGGTCCAGGGTGGCGGAGGTAGGTTAGGTTAGGTAGGTTTGGTTACTGTTATAAACTACATATTAGTAATTACCTGTACGTTATTTTTTACCGTAATGCAGGTCATAATATGTAGCTTACCATAGAATTCCTCATGTTTTTTTGATATCGTTGATTTTGAGTCATCAAATGATTTAAATTCATATTTGGTATACATTAATATGCAAATCTTACTTTGTTAGGTTTATAGGCAATGATGTTTTCTCTTATGCGTTTACAACTAATACAGGTTGAAAAATTCTGGCTGCTATTATTATTTTTGACTTATTTTACCACTTATTGTTTGTTACAGTAAATCTAATTAACTTTTGACATAGATAGAGGAGAATTTTGGGGGCTACAGCTACAATGATAGGTTAGGTTATAATGTTTTGAACTATTTCAATAGATTCCTTTCTAACATAGTAGTGTACATGAAACATAGTTGTGTACAGTGTATGTAACCACAGCTCACAGTAAGAAAGTTTTTATTTATTTTTGCTCTTGAAGAAGGTCAACACTATTTTTCAGACCATTTATTTTCTAAACTTTTATATATTTATATATTTTAATTATACCCTTAACATAGACTTCAATCAAACTATTATACAGTTCTTTCCAGAAGAAGAAAGAGAACAAACCCCCGGACCCTCAGGAGCTAGGTTTACGGCTGTTCATTCCAGCGAGGAATCTATGTTTAGGCCGTTCAAGAGAAAGAGGATTCTCTAACCATCTTGCTAACTGAGGATATACAGGAACATGATATAACAGTACCCATTGTGCATTTAGAACCTGAAACTTCAGCACATCAAAACATTCATGAATCTTCATCATCCAGAACATATGAGGTAGAAAGATGTAGCTCAAGCAAGACTCATAAACCTCTTGCTGCTACCACGGAACAGTGAAGTAGGTCTCATACCCCTTCTGCCACAGCTGATGATAACCAGACTAGGTCAACTGCAAATTCACCAACAGCCTACTGTAATCGCTGCTATTTTGCACACATTATTCTCCAAAGAGCAATTTGTTACATTGGTTCTTTCATAAGGCTGTGCTGTCTCATGCTGAAATGTATAGCTTAACAAGCCAAGAGTTTGCTATGTGTTTTCTTTATTACTTATAGTTGTACAGTATTTGGTTATAAGTTTACTTTAATATACAGGTATTGATGCAGGTACATTCTAGCCATGAGAGTTCCTTCAGTAATTCTAGACATATGAAAATTATACTGTATTCCATTTTTAAATCTTAAAAATGGCAACAATTAACAGTAGTTGTATTAAGTTTTCACAACAATGTGGTGACCCATGTCAAATCGTGTAGTTTAAGAAGCAAACAGTGGCAATATTTTTTTATTGTTTCCATTTCTCAAATATGTTTTATATAATGATTTTTGTTTTCACAAACTTTAGTGCCTTTGGTATTTAGTAGTATTAAAAGTATACTGTACAAGTATTGGAATAAAATTTGCTCAAGGATATAGTACATACTTTATTTTCCTATATAAAATATTTATCTTATGAAGGTAAAATAAAGGCAATTATTTTCTGTATTTTCTATAAAGAAGTTTATTTTATTATGTACAGTACGTTTATTGAAAATAAAAGTTAATTCAATGTATGCTTTATTAGCATTACCTCTGTATACTGCAATAAAAAATAATTATTAAACAGTAGTGTTTTTATGTTGATACTAACTTATTCAAAGTTTTATCATGAGGCCTAGAATAGAAGGGTTATGCCTGAAAAAAAAGAAATTATGGCCTTAAGGTTTTGCCTGGCATTAGGGGTAAAATACTAAAAAATGCACAGCGTGTTAAAATCTCTGTACTCATTTAAAAATGAATAAAATTGTACAGTATGAAAGTAAATAAGAGTGTTAAAAGCATTTAAAAGACATCATCTTGCCTCTTGTCTGTCACATACTCGCATTTGAAATTGCTTTCTGGTAGGAACAACAGCATTCTCAGGAGCCGTAGAGTCTTTTGACCCTTGTTCATATTCTTACTAATATCTCCGTCAGCCGGAATCCCTGAAACCCGGAACTTTCTGAAAGCCACAATTAATTCCCAAAGCATGATTTTGCAGGAAACTTATGGCTTAGGTAATGACTTTTAAAGGGGCACATTTTCCTGAAAATTATGAGAAAAGGTTCCCAGATAACCGAGAAAATTCCGGAGATGGGGGATATATTTCTGGGTTCGAGAGATGATGTAATGGGCAATTTCAGGAACTACCGAAAACATTTTTCCATTACCATAAACATTCGGGGGACGAGGGATATTTTCTTGATTTGAGATAATCGTCTCGTTAACGGGAAAACTCATTCACGGAAGTGCTCTTCACCAATTGTTCCGGCTAACAGAGATCTTGTAGTGGTTACTCTACCACACAGCAACTCCTCTTCCAAGCAGCAACTTCCCAGCACCAGACTGTTTTGTATATAATATATTTGATATAAGAAAACCACCATTAAGAGTTTCCTTTCTCCAACCCATCCTGAGTGTGAGCCTTATTCTGGGCAAATTTAAATAAATTGGTTAATGATAGTATAGCCTTGCCTAACCCAAATGACAAATCACTTCTCTTAAATTACTCATTTAGCCTAGAACATGGTGCTTTCCTTTCAATGTTTGCGTCATTTGGTCTGAATTGTCTTCAAGTTCATACAAGAAACAGCAATTTAAAACCTGAAACTATATCGGATTAGCCGAAAATTTTCTTAAATTAATACTCTACCCTATGATACTGTTCAAGGAAAGTCTGGAACTAGGCCTAAGATAGCTGCTAGACAAAGTGTCTCACTGACAGCTTGACACACCAAAAAAAACCATGTACACATTCTCTAACGTACCATAGCATAACCAAACCAAACCTAACCTATTGGTATAATTTCTTATTTAAATAATCCTCATGTTCTAACTAAATTAAGTAGGCCCCACGTTTAAACATTTATTTGCCTAAGACTGAAAAAGCAGTTATATAGGCCCCTATTAATCAAGTTAATTGCAATCCATATTTTACGCCTAATATCATATAATTTTGGCTAGCCTATGGAAATTTATAGCCTTTCATGTTATCATAAGCCATATACATAAGAAAATAGGCTAAGGCTATTGGTTGAATATTAGAAAAACAAGGCGAAGTCTTGGCAGGAATGTTCACTTGACCTCGTATTTGGCTTTCATTACTGAGGGATATTTACGGCTATACAACATTAATAAGTTCTATCTGCAAGTTTACTCAGTCATAAAACATATTTTTACCCTAAGTGTGAACAATACAAACCTTCTATTTTGGTAAAAAATACTTTATAACTTTTAAGAAGACAAAAGATGCGTCTCTTCCAAACTGCGACAAATACAAACACTCAAAGCCTCTTATTTTGGCAACAAAAATGTTATGAAAAAGACAAAGTGAAATATTATATTTCAGTATGTTGATGTACAAAACATTTTCTTCATTATTCTATGATAAAACAAGTCAATATATTATTATTATTTTTTATACAATCGGGAATTAGCGACTACTACATCCGGGTTGAGTGTTACACAGCCTCAGGGGCTGGTGTAAGTTACGGGCTTTAACTTACGGAGTTCGATGTCAAATATTTGTTTTGAGTATACCATCTGCGTTTTGAGTATACCGATCTGAGACTGTAAGTCCAGTTACTGGGTATACAAGGACATACAGTCCCATAAATGTTTTTGAGTATCCAGCCCCTGGTATTGAGAGAGGTAGTGAGGTACTAAACAGGTAGTGAGGGAGGGAGAGAGGTACTGACCAGGTGTTAGGGGGATGTACTCACCAGGTGTTAGGGAGGGAGTACTGAGAAGGCAGTGAGGAAGGTAGTGACCAAATATCGGGGAATTAGGTACTTACCGGGTAGAGGTCCGGCAGGGAGGTAGACGGCTGGGCTGTACTGTCGGCTGAGTTTCCTGTGTTCAACTTGTTCCCCGCGACCACCCCTGTAACACAACACAACGACCTTAGTAAGTGACCCCATAGTTATATGGACTTACACACACACATGGAGACATAACGCACACAGCTACCCACAAAATATGTATTTCCAACGATACAGGTGGTAGCAGTATAGACCCACCTGCAGAGAACACTGTAACGCAGTAATATGCAATAAAAAGCAAAAATACCAGGGTGATTTTTTTTATTAGAGGACCCTAAATAATTCCCCTACACTAAAAACTATATCAGTAACCTCATGTTTTGCGTAAATGTTGCCTAATGTTACAGAAAGACGTGACATGAACCAGAGAGTTATCAGGTACCACGTGATATGTCACGTGACCCGTCAGTGGCGTTTAACGGTTTTCGCTCAAATCAGTCATGCCAAGGCGCTCACTGTGGAAGCGTTCGTGTTTCTCGTCTAACATTACGTCAAGAATGCATCCTATAAGAATTGCCAAATTGCATTTAAAAGTCGCTTTGGTGGTCGTACGAAACCTTTGAAATCAGTGATATGGAAACTGGTGAAGCAGTTCGGAAAAGAACAGGGTGAGTGAAAGTTAAGCAACACAAGCGCCAGCCAAGGAACGCTGCACTTTGTGTCGGAGAGCATGCTGCGAAGAATAAATGTGTGCCTGCGACATGGTGGTGAACACTTTCAGCATTTCATTTAAGGTAACATATTAAATAGATTATGTCACGTCTTCAGTGTATGGAAATTATTTGGGGTTCTCGAATAAAACAATCACCCTTTATAAATGGCAAACTCAATTGATGTGCATAAACTACAATAAGAAACTGTGTACACGATGGTTCTTACCTCCAACAAACACCTGTGATGGAAGCTCTTATTAAGACTATGCTGCGTACTTACAGTAAGGTAACACTCTTCAAACTGACACTGTATCTTCTGTACAAAACATAATGAATGAAATGGAATAAACACACTTACATATGTCAATTATCAAGTAAATCTTACATTCATCAAGCCGAAAACATACCAACCTAACCTAACCTAACAACACATCATCTGGGTAGTTCACAGTAAACAAATTGAAATTTACCTTCGCTTCTCCTTCACCTGTATGAACCTAAGCTTTACCAGTTATTTCCAGATACGTAGCTTAGTTCTTTGACATGAAGGGGATTTGGATTTTATTTATCATGAATACGATGGGGTTTTGCCAATGGTTGATTTTGTTGCTGTGCTGATAGTCGTAATATGCGTACAGAGCAACTGCGTCCGTCTATTCTCGTTGTCGAGTCCTTCTGTCGTCTTCTGTCGTGACGTACTTCGCCAAAAGCCGGCGAGAACGACGTTACGCATACGCATGTACTGTACATTGAATTTACAAGTTTACATTTTATAGTAATATCAGACTCGGTGCTATTCCATAAAATTGACAATGATAATACAATCTAAACTTATTCACTCGAAACTAATTTGCTAGAATTAAGAGAAAACTACGAGAACTATCTTACTCGTCTCTTTCTGATGAACAAATATGATGTTAATATTATCATCAGATTAATAATAATAATTATAATTAATCCATCACCGTGCATACATCGATACAAGTAAATCAAAGATTACAAACAATATAGTATACTGAGAAATCAATGACTTACCCCTGTCAAAGAACACAATAATGAACTGTTATAGAGGTCCATTACCCACGTATACGAACACGTTTCAAGACTCCTAGAAGGAAGTTGTCGGTTCTAATTTCAACATGTCATAGATTCTCGGTGAATAATTTTTACAGCAATAAGCACTGTAAGAATATAATAAGGATGAGACATAACAATAGAGAAGAAAACCAAAACATAAATACTATCGCAATGAAGCAACAACCTATCACTGAAACTTTACGATATTAAGGGACAGTCATCAGTGTTTCACTCTGTAATAAGCTCTGTAATGTAAAGTGACTAGTCCAAGACGTCAATTAGAAGAAAATTATGTGTAAATACTGCACCTTGTTGGTTTGCGTGATAACCTCGTCAAACCTTTGAGTTAAAAGTTTCTATGACTAAGTTTGTATATTACTCTATTCTGTATTGCAACTGGTTGAGACTGCATTGAAATGTTTGTCAAATTTATCAACGTCTTCAGCCATTGCTGTGCCTAATAATTCGGTAGAAAATTATCAAACCAATAAAATTGAACAATCAACGTTAATGGCGAAGCGCATGAGATTTTTCCTGATGTCTGTGTGAGAAATTGGTAGAGTTCTATCAAATTTCATAAAACTTTTGAGCAAATTATTCATTTTGCTTGTTTGAAGGATAATGGTTTGCTGAAGTATGTCGGAAATTTCAGTTTGTTTCGATTCAGGACAAACAATGGTTCTTCCACTTGTCTAGCTAGTAATCGTCCTTTTTGTCAATAGGTAAGCCCCTGAGTTATCAGACCATCGACCGTACCTCCATTACTGAGACACTGAATCTAGAATGGTACCACATTAACACTAATTCAATTTAGAATGGCGCTTGGTGCTTGGAGAGAAGCTACTGTCTATATAATAAATATAACATTAATTTTATATCACCTCATGAATTAAATCTGGTGAAATTAGTATATTCTATATAGATTTTCGCTAGCTCCTGGAAATCCTCCATAGTATCTCTGGGGGTTCGCGAACCGCTGTAAGAGGTTTATGATTGATGGAACTATGTTGTTTGGTGTTGGGTTTGCTCGCTCTCTCTGAAGCAGGTGTTGCTCATGTGTAGTTCGAATCGAGTCAGTCATTGTGCGGGGTGTAATCGTATGGCAGGTCACTTGGCTCCAGTTAGTCACCCACTACCTGTGGGTTTATTGGTTATTATGTGGTTTAAGGTTCATATGGGGTTATTTGTGTTCTATGTTGTGTTTTGTTTAATTCATATATTTGTGTTACTGTGTTTGTACAATTTATAGTGTTGAGTTTATAAGTCCTACAACGTTAAAAGTGTGTTTACCGCTCCAAACACGATTTTAAATATAACGTATTGTTGCAGGTTTTTATTCATATGTCACGTTGATGTAGAATGCAGCGCTCCTAGCCTTGTGTGTCAGTACGCCAGCTAGGATGCTACCAAGGAAAGTACTGTATATAGGTAGGACGCGCGTCTTAAAGCTACTTAATGTAGATCCCGGTAACGCACGCGCCTGGTCAATAGATGGCACTGATAAAATGGCGGGAAAAGTTGTGTTGGCTGTTTGTTTTCATTGGCCGCTGGGCATGACAGTGACACAAACATGGCGAGAAGGAAAGGGTTTTCCGGTGTGTTGTGTGCGGCACAAATAAAACCAACAATAAAGACCAGAGGTTTCATTACTTCTTAAAGGACACGAAAAGGTAAGTAGATATATTTAGTAAGCTTGGCACAAGTTTAAAGCATATTTTGAAAAGAAAGTACAAAAGATGAGTTAAACTCATGAACCAATGCTCATTTTCAAAAGCATACAATATGGAAATGTTACAGGAGACAGCACGAGAAGGACTTTATGGAATTGCACCAAATTTTCAGGAGAACCCTCTTGGGTGATGTTAAGAAAATGGTATAACAAAACCTATTAAAGCCTGACCTAACCTTATTTAACCTACCTAACTTACCTAACCTACCTAACCTTACCTAACCTACCTAACCTGTGAAAAAAGTAAACAAACCCAGCACATACTTTGAACGCAATTAAATTCGCAGTAACATTTTCCTGTTTGTTTCTGACAATTTTATATTCATACTGTATTTGGAAATGGGAACTAAAATTGGGTTAGGTTAGGTTAGGTTGGTTAGGTAAATTAAGATTAGTATTCGTGAGGTTAAGTAAGGTTTGGTTAAGTTAATGACACACATTTCTCTTATTACATTCATTATTCAGTATCACCATTAAAACAATTGTGCAAAAATGAACAAAATCAATACGGTCTTTCAGATGTTAGTTATATACTACATCTTTACTCATACTTTCATCTGGAATTTAAGATTAAAGGGAAAAAGGTAATGTTATAACCTGCTTTAATATATCTTGTGAATATCAACTTATTGACAAAGGTATCAGTAATCATTCTCATGTCCAACTTAATTTCCTTAGATTAAAATTATTGTTGCTAGAAAGTTCGTCATTCCAGATGTATAACTTGGCTGAGAAACCCCAATACTAAAACGCTACATCAACTAAATACATCTCATGTTGTCGGTAGCAACCATTTCAACTACTGCACTTCCAATAACATGTTAGTTGATATGTTATCTTTCTCTTAACTTTATTGCTATACAGTATTTATTTTATCTCGTTTTCTTTATCATGGGAAATGGTTGTAATATTTTCATACATGTTCTGTTTATTTTGGACCAGACTTTTACTTCTTGGACCCAAGCACAGTTTGATCTTAGTCAACCTTGTGCATAGTGCCAATCACTGCTCAGGTATCAGTGTTCCTTAACTGAAGCAATACTAATTATTATTTAAAACAGAAGCTGAATTATGATGAGTATTCTTTAACCAATGTTTAACAGATGGTCCATCAGATGCTTTAAATCCTATGGGAAGGGTTGATGGTGGTCACGGACATGCTGCTAATGGTAAATGTATTTACTCAATTTTGTTGGTGATACATTAAGCAGGTTAATTCAAAGGGAAGTGTGTTTGACTATTTGCTTATACAGGTATTAGAATGTACAACAAAGGGCTGAAAACCCCCAGTAAAAATAGTCATCTTGAATAGATGTATTCCCAGCATACTTCAGCTATCATAATTATGTATATGAATTAACCCAATAATTTAGCATTAAATTAACAAATACGTGTTAAAAGTGAATTATTTCATTTAGATAATGCTAAATATTTTATTTTTACTGCAGTACTGTCACGTGCCTGTGGCTCTCGGGAACTCGCATAGCGTGAGGCATATGTTCACCCCTCCATTTCACACAAGCCATTAATAATTTGTTAATTGTACTTATTATATTATTATTGTTCTTAGTTACTTAGGTTAATTGTATATTTATGTATGTT